AAACAGTTAAAAGCATATATTTTGGTGGTTTATTTTACTAGAAGCACATCCAAGAGGTGTGACACTGGTTAAAGAGTGAAATTTTTCTTTGTGCCATTTTTAACAGCATTTTTCTCAAAACTGCCCTTTTGCGGTAGTAGGTGTCTGTCCCTACCCATTAAGTTAAATACTTGAGGAGATATTTCTTCTATATCTGTATAAGAAAGTGTTTGGTTGACATGGCAACACCAATGGCCATACACCAAATCTGCTCCATAGGATCATAGTGCAACCCATGTTAGTTACGCCTGGAGAGTAAACGCTATTTTCCTTGAATTTAATTTGTGCTGAAAAGTATGTGGGGCAGACAGCAACTCCCAGCTAATAATATCAAATTCATAATGGTAATTGAACTGAGTTGCAATTTGGTCTGAAATCATACGCGTGATTTCACAATCGAGCGAGCGCGAGTTTGATTTGAAATCACAAGTATGATGTCAGACAAAACTGCACGACACGAAGTTCAGTTGCCGTTTTATTCGGATCCATCTTGAAATCGCACAATTCTATCGCCCTAAATTTTAGGTTTTGGTGTATAGTTCCAGTAGGAAATGTGTTAAAAATAGCGGAATCGGAAACGCCTGTACATCGCATTTATTATGCAAAACGATGACATATGACGAAAACTCATTAGAGCATAACAAAGGAACAGGCAGTTCTGAAGTCAGCACGAAAACAAACAACTTCATGCATCAAAGTTCAATTCTCGTCACCTGAATCAATAATGGAGAGCCTTCCATTCTTCTGTGGTTGAGGCTCAAACTTGAGGCTCTTTGTCTTTGGAAAAGGAATTTGAAGGAGCAGCGTGTGTAATTCTGCGATGGATTTCTTTGAAGTTGTGATACTCCCCCGAGCGGAAGATGCCCAATGGATAGTTTTTCTCTTTTAAATACCGTTCAATGGCACTCTGCATGATTTTAAGGGATTCCAGCTCGTTATCATCCTTTTTTTTGTGAACTCAACGTGGAACTTTATACTCAGGACCTTGTGAAGTTCTTGCGGCGTCGTTTGTTTCAAGATATTTCCAAGATGGCAGGACTGGCATTAGCTTCGAAGTCGTTCACTGTTTTACGGAGCGGGGCGTATTTTGACAATGGTTATTAACAGCGACAGAGTTGAGCACTTGTATTGCTTCGTTTGAAACTACCCGAAACCTGGAAACATCTACCTTCTTGAGATGACCCCTAATTTGTTGTTGTGCGGTTTTCTTTTGTTTATGTTTTGTTGAACTCGGTATCATACGGATCTTGAGCACGTGTCGAACAAAAAACAACAACAACAACAACAACGACAAAGTTTTGGCAATAAAAGTTGCAAAATTCGCCACACAATGGCTTTTTGTCTTTCTTTTCCTGAATTTTTATTATTTGCCCTAAACTAACCTTGAAATCTGATTGGTTGTTTTGTTTTACTGCCCATTCTCATTGGCTAAGAAAAAAGATGCAATTTAGAGCAACAAATAAGACAATTCGGGAATAAATCGCACCGCTGAGAGCCAATCAGATTGCTAGGATACCCAGTGATTTCAAACTGGATTTAATAAAGAGGTTAATTATTAGCTATTATGTAAAAGTTATTGGTATACCGAGTGGTAACAAATTGATAAAAACGATATCCCCACATGTGAGGATATCATTTTTATCCACACATGTGAAGATGCCATTCTTGATAAAATTTTCTTCCCTATTCTGCACCTAAATCTGTTAGTGTATGATGGAAACATCTTCAGATCTTCCTCGGAAGTCTTTAGCAATCTTCGCTTGGCTTTGGAAATCTTGGGACATCTTCAGAAATTTTCGGAAAATGTTCGGAAACGTTCATCGGGCCTTCGGACACTTTTTGAAGAATGTTTGGAAATCTTCGGGAAGTGGTCGGAAATCGTCGGAAAATCGCCAAAAACGTCGTTATGTATTGTGAGAATTTTATATAATGAAAAGAAAATTACATGGTCGCTTGGAAATACGAAATTTCTGTTCTCAAAGATAAATTTCGTATCTCCGCACGGCCATGTAATATCCTCTATTTTTTTAACCACTCCATCGCAATTCACATTATTTTGAGTAGATCTTCCTGAGAGGATGCTCTGATGAAAATTTCATCGTCTTTTATTAAATTTTTACAGAGGTCTGTTTCTTTAAAGACGCTTACCATATTTCTCTAAAATTTTACTAGACTGCCCCCTTTAAGGGTAGTGAGCCGAAAATACTACGACCGGAGTTTTGTTTTAGAGTTAATACCTCTTAGGGGTGAAAAACGTTTCAAGCCACGCCCAAAAAACGGGATCTTGGTACCTCTTAGGGGTTCTTTTCAAAATTTCCCACGAGCACCCCCATCTTTTTTATATGGGAGTCCTTTCCCATTGCC